AGCTATTTATTTATTTAGTATTTTATCCTTTTATTTATTCCCTTTTATTTATTTCCTATGTTTAGGATATTTATTGCTTTAAATAAGTTAGGGTGGAGAGCCTATTTAAAGGGGCAGAAAACTCATTGTTATTCAGTTTTACGATTGAAATAAAATATCTCTCTTGAGTTCTTCTGAGAATTCATATTGTTCCCATCGTACGTTTTCTACTGCGTCACCTACCATAATACATAACGAGTTTGAGGTAAAATAATTTAGAGGGAGGTGGTAGAGCCGACTGAATCCTATCAGGTCGTTCTAGAGAGAGAATTTTAGTCCGAACTGAATTTGGCCAAGGAAAAAGAAGTAGTGCCCGAGGGGGGCTACTCAAAGAGCTCACCAACCTTTGGAACTTTAGAACCCAAAGATCAAGGAAGCTCAAAATTGTAAAGAATGGTTGTGACATGGTCGTTGGAGTAGGAGGTTAGGGGGTTTGGTTTGACAACCGTCACGAGGATAGAAAATACCTCAGTTTTTTTTACCTTTAACAATCGTAACTTGGTCTTTTAATTTTCGAGAGAGAGGAAGAGCACGGCGAGCCTAGATGGCTCGTCCAAGGTTTTTTTGCCTTTGACCACTGTAACCTGGTCTAGCTAACGGTAAGAAAAAGAGAGAGCCAGGGTTAAAGGGAGGTCCCTAAAAGGTTCATCTAGGGGTTGAGAAAATAGGTCAAAGAAGAAATGTTACTAGAGTCCGACATGGTTGTCGGAGTTTTATGAAGAAAAGTTGAAGGGGGGTTGGCGATTGCCAAATAACCAAAAGTTTTAAATTAAAAAAAAAAAATGATGAGAAAGAAAAAGACAAGAAAAAGACAAGGGGAATTGGCAATTGCCGAATTTATTATTAATAATTGTCTGGTGTCATTGGCATTGTGATTGAAATTTAGAGTATGTTACTTTTTTCATTTAATTTGATTCTTTCATTGGTTTTAAATTAACCACTAGCATATTTACTAACTTATTGATATGTACTGTTTCTAAGGAAAATATGATAAACTGCATTGTCTGGTGAGAATATGTAGACCAACTTCATACTTTTGAGAGCCATTACAAATTACCAGGTCTCTTATGGGTGTTAATAATGTGATTATGTCGGACTAGAATTTTGGCAGGTTGTACAAAAAAGTTTTGAAAATGATATCTTATGAGAATGATGAGTTTCCCAAAATTTAATTAATAATTTTGTGTACAATGAAGTTTTCAATGAACATGTATTTTTTTCGTCGAATAACTAAAATTGAAAAATTGCCCGACACATTATAACTTTGTCGAATTACCTACTACAATTTACAAAATCAAATGAAAAAATTGTAGGGAACTTTAACGGGAAAATAAAATAAGATTGCTATATAACATATACCGAGACCTGTGAGAACACAGTGTCCTTAAAACAGATTCGCCCCGTATGAGCATCTGTTTCCCAGGATACAACGGAAAAACCGAAACTAATCTGGCGAACTGGAACTATGCCTGGACCAAAAAACTTAAAACACTTAAAAGAAAAAATGGGAAAAATCCTTTGTAATGTTTTTCTTTCCTTGTTTTTTTTTTCTTCTCGTATGTTTTCTTCAAAAGATAAGAAGTCCCTTTTATAGGCTATGATAAGACATACTCATTAAGTCATTCATTTACTCCAAGAGTTAATGTAGTTAAGTTAAATGTAACATTAATAAAACCAAGTTACATGTTTAAAAAATGAAGACATAGTTTCAAATTAAACTTTCAGTTGCAACTTTCATTCAATTTTCCAACAATCCCCCACATGAATGAAATTGAAAAATAATGTTATGGTCCAACAGTTGAAACCTGCATAGGATAGGTAGGTATTACCCTTTGAACCTTCCCTTTTGAAAGCACATTAACTTTACTAGTTGACCAGTAGACGCGATGTCTTTGAACTGTTCTGCCTTTTGTGTAAACGATGAATATACTTCACACAGGATTCTCCCTAACATATTCCAGTTCTCATTATTATGTCCATTAGTGGCCCTGGACATAGCCTGGTTCTGTGAGAGGGTCTAAGAATTGAGCCTCACACAATTCTCTTCAAAGCTGCCCCACTTCTCTCTCACATAGGTGATTCATAATTACAAGTAGCCCGTACTACATTCTCATACAAGAATCATTAAAAGCCAAATGCTTATCCTACTCACCACGGGTATCACTGTTTAAGGAATGGACATAGGATAGTATCCCACAGTGATCACAAGAGTCTTTTTACAATTAGGTTGTCCCATTGAACCAAGATCTTGGGATCTCCAGTCAACAAGGTAGGGTTTCCATTGTATCAACTCATTTCTAGAGGCTTAAGTCCCATTCCTCTCAAAGATTTAGCAACCAACTCTCTATTTAACCCTTTGGTTAGCGAATCCGCAAGATTATCTTTTGACTTCACATAGTCAATAGATATAGTACCAGTTGAGAGTAGTTGTCTAATGGTATTATGTCTTCGACGAATATGTCTAGACTTACCATTATACATATTACTTTGTGCCCTGCATATAGCCGATTGACTATCACAATGTATACAAATGGCTGGCACTGGCTTTGACCATTTTGGAATATCTTCTAGGAAATGGCGAAGCCACTCTGCCTCTTCTCCACTTTTGTCCAATGCTATAAATTCGGATTCCATTGTGGATCTGGCAATAACAGTCTGCTTAAAAGATTTCCATGATATGGCTGCACCTCCCAAAGTGAATAAATATCCACTAGTGGATTTAGAATCTTTCATATCCGATATCCAGTTGGCATCACTATAGCCTTCAATTACAGCTGGATATTTACAAGTATATCTCAAGTATCTGAGTAATCTTACAATTCCTTTCAAGTGTTCATCTCCTGGATTACTTGTGTATCTACTCAGTTTACTCACAGCAAAGGCGATGTCTGGTTTAGTACAATTCATTAGATACATCAGACTCCCTATCACCCTTGAATATTCGACTTGAGAAACACTTTCTCCTTTATTTTTCGACAGATGTTGACTTGTATCTATCGGGGTCCTAGCCTGAGTCAAATCATCCTTATTAAATTTTTCAAGGATTTTCTCCACATAATGTGCCTGACTCAGAACAATTCCTTGTGATGTTCTATGAATTTTAATTCCAAGAATCACATCAGCTAGACCCATATCTTTCATGTCAAATCTAGAATTTAACATATCTTTTGTGGATTTAATAATTTTATCATTGCTTCCAACAATAAGCATGTCATCTACGTAAAGACATAGGATTACATAACCTTTTTCTGTGTCTTTAACATAGATACATTTATCACATTCATTAATTTTAAATCCACTTTGAATCATGACATTATCAAACTTTTCATGCCATTGTTTTGGAGCTTGTTTTAAGCCATACAAAGACTTAACCAATTTACAAACTTTATTCTCTTGCCCTGGAGCAGAGAACCCTTGAGGTTGCTCCATATAAATTTATTCTTCTAAATCTCCATTTAGAAAAGCTGTTTTTACATCCACTTGATGTATTTCAAGGTTTCGTAAAGCTGCAATTGCAACAATTACCCTGATGGATGTTATCCTCGTTACCGGAGAATATGTATCAAAGTAATCAAGGCCTTCTTTTTGCTTATAACCTTTAATTACAAGTCTAGCCTTATACTTATCAATTGTTCCATCAGATTCCATTTTCCTTTTGAAAATCCACCTGTAGCCCAATGGTTTACTTCCAGGAGGAAGATCCACTAGCTCCCATGTGTGATTTTGCAAAATAGAATCTATTTCACTTAGGATTGCTTCTTTCCAAAGAGGTCCTTCAGAAGAATTTACAGCTTCTGAAAACATTTGTGGTTCACTTTCAACCATATAGGTTAGAAAATATGGACCAAAAGATTTTTCTATCCTACCTCTTTTACTTTTCCGAGGTTCTACTTCAACATATCCATCTTGATCCTTTTCCATTATTTCCAAATTTCTTTTAATGGAACTAGAATCCACTTCAGACTTACGTGGAAATATATGCTCAAAAAATGAAGCATTTCTAGATTCAAGTATCGTATTCTTATGAATTTCCTCAATTTTGGATTCATGTACAAGAAAATGATAAGCACTACTGTTGTGTGCATATCTAATAAATATGCAATCAACAGTTTTTTGTCCAATCTTTATTTTCTTTGGCGTAGGTATTGCTACCTTTGCCAGACACCCCCACACTCGCAAGTATTTGTAGGATGATGGTCTTCCATGCCATAATTCATATGGCTTTTATCTATCTTTTTGCGGGGAACCTTATTTAAAAGGTAATTTGCTGACAACACAGCTTCCCCCCACATGTTCTGTGGAAGTCCAGAACTTAACAACATTGAATTCATCATATCTTCCAAAGTACGATTTTTTCTTTCTGCAATCCCATTTTGTTGCGGTGAATAAGGTGTTGTCATTTCATGTCTTATCCCATGTTGGGCACAAAATTCAGCAAAAGGTGACTCATATTCACCTCCTCTGTCACTTCTTATCACCTTAATCTTTTTATTTAACTGATTTTCAACTTCGTTTTTGTAGAGAACAAATTTCTCTATCGCTTTATCTTTACTTTTGAGAAAGATACACATAACAAAATTTAGTGCTATCATCTACAAAAGTAATGAAATATTTATTTCCACCACGTGTCGTAATAGCTTTTAAATCATATACATCAGTGTGAATTAAATCAAGTGGTTCACTCTTTCTTTCAATAGTTTGAAACGGTAATAGTGTCAATTTTGCTTCAACACAAGTTTCACACTTATGTTTTGAATCAATATGGAACATAGGTATGCTTTTCAATTTTATTAACCTGCGCTGGGTATTATAATTGACATGTCCCAGTCTACCATGCTACACAATGGAAGACTCAAACATATAAACGGAAGAATTAACACTTTTATTAATTGTCATCACATTGAGCTTTAAAAGCCCATTACATTCATAACCCTTCCCTACAAATGCTCCATTTTTAGTCAAAATGACCTTATCAGATTCAAACACTACACGAAAACCATGTTTGATCAACAAAGAACCAGACACTAGGTTCTTGCGAATTTTTGGTACATAAAGGACATTATTAAGAGTCAATTCTTTTTCAGATGTCATTTTCAGTACCACTTTCTCCACTCCTTTGATGTCAGATGTGGCAGAATTTCCCATGAAAAGCTTTTCTCCATCCACAGTCTCGTCAAGGACATTAAACAATTCCTTGTTTGAGCAAACATGACAGGTAGCACCCTTGTCAATCCACCATTCATGTGGATTTGAGCCCACCAGATTCACCTCAGATATAACTGCAGCGAGGTGCATCTCATCAACATCTTTGGCCAGATTTTCTACCATGTGGGCTTCTTGATTTTTCTTTGGCAACCTACAATCAGATGCCTTATGGCCAGATTTATTACAATTATAACAATTTCCAGAAATTTTTTTCTTGAAAAATTGCTTCTTTGGCCCCATTATTGCTTTCCCATTATTGCCAGCTTTTTTCTTATTATTTTTGTTTGAGCTTTCGTCATGCTCAACAACATTAGCCTTGGCCAAATAAGGGTTAACCATTTTGTTGTCGTAGCCCTTGTTGTCTTCTTCAATTCGAAGTCTAACAACGAGCTCTTCAATGGTCATCTCCTTTTTCTTATGTAATAAATAATTTTTGAAATCTTTCCAGCTCGGTGGTAGCTTTGCAATTATGGCAGCCACCTGGAAAGTTTCATTCACAACCATTCCCTCGGAATGGATATCATGCAAGATTATTTGAAGCTCTTGCACTTGACTGATTACAGTCTTCGAGTCAACCATCTTGTAGTCCAGAAACCGGCCTACAAGAAATTTCTTGGCCCCAGCGTCTTCGGTTTTATATTTTTTATCCAAAGACTCCCACAACTCTTTTGTTGTTTTGATAGAACTGTACACGTTGTACAGTGTATCAGCCAAGCAATTCATCACATAATTTCTACACAATAAATCCGAGTGATTCCATGCATCAAGCGCACTAACCGCTTGAACATCCGGATTTTCCCCCAACTTTGGTGGATTTTCCGTCAAGAACCTCGCAAGGTTCAACGTAGTGAGATAAAACAGCATCTTTTGCTGCCAACGCTTGAAATTCAAGCCATTAAATTTTTCCGGTTTATCAGCATGATTTACCGGAACAGAAGGAGAAATAGAAATTGTAGTAGCAACACCGGTATTAGCAACGCCAATAGTATTTTGTTCAGCAACCATCTTTAATAGGAATCTGTTTTAAGATTGTAGGGAACTTTAACGGGAAAATAAAATAAGATTGCTATATAACATATACCGAGACTTGTGAGAACACAGTGTCTTTAAAATAGATTCGCCCCGTATGAGCGTCTGTTTCCCAGGGTACAACGGAAAAATCGAAACTAATCCGGCGAACTGGAACTATGCCTGGACCAAAACACTTAAAACACTTAAAAGAAAAATGGAAAAAATCCTTTGTAATGTTTTTTCTTTCCTTGTTTTTTTTTCTTCTCGTATGTTTTCTTCAAAAGATAAGAAGTCCCTTTTATAGGTTATGATAAGACATACTCATTAAGTCATTCATTTACTCCAAGAGTTAATGTAGTTAAGTTAAATGTAACATTAATAAAACCAAGTTACATGTTTAAAAAATGAAGACATAATTTCAAATTAAACTTTCAGTTGCAACTTTCATTCAATTTTCCAACAAAAATGTCACATGTGCATTGCACACACGAGTTGCATACTAGTTACATTTTATTAGATCACAATAAGAATTTCACACATTTTTTTAAAAGTGCAATAAAAGAAAATCATAATTTAAAAAAAAAAAAGGTGAAAATCGGTATTCCTCTGAACGTGGTCGGCATGGCGTCCCCATTCCATGACCATCAAAATTTTTTGAAACGAACTGTAATAAACTTCGTTTATTTCTTCAGTCAAATCGACCAATAAATTCAAAATTAGTACAACACGCGTGTATTACACGGGTGCTTATTAAAAAATTATTTTTAAATTTAATAATTAATGAGAAAACTATATTAAATTTAGTTTATTTTTTTTAAAAAAAAATATATTACTATATATTTTAGAATGATATGTGTTACTTATGACTTACATGTGTTATATTATATTAGTTTTTATAACTTATATCATATAACTATTTGAAATATAAATATATTAGTTGATAAATAATTTTATTTTTCTAATTAATATTAAAAATAATTTTATTATTGTTATAAAGATAAATATAAATTATTTTTTTTATACATATAATCCTCCCTATATATAATTCCAGAATGCGCTGAGCCTACGTGGCTGCTTCTGGTGCTTCGGAATCCTATTTAGCGAAGAATCATGCTTCGTAATTGGTTTGGATAAATAATATTGATATATTAATAATTAATCATCTAGGTTCGGGTATTCCATAAATATTATTTAGCTAACTTAGGTATTTTAATATCACTTTTACTAATATAACCATTTAATTTTTTGTAATTTTACATAGTGAGGCAATAAGTGACTAATATATCCCTGAATTTTGATTTGTTTCCTTCAATAAACTATTGAATTATAAATGTATTTTAAAAGTTGATAACTTTTGTATTTTTTATCGGTTTTACATATATAATATATCAAATTAATCATCTTTTGATGATCTTCGATTTGACATCCATATTGTATATATGAAATAAATAAATTATATTTATCTTTATAATAATAAAAAATAATAATATTTATTAAAAATTATTAGAAAAATAAAATTATTTCTCAATTGATATATTTATATGTAATGTAGTTATATATTGTAAGTTAAAAATAAAATTATTATAATATAACACAAGTAAGTCGCACAAATAAAAAGTGTCACAATAAATATATACTAATATATATATTCTTATAAAAGATATTTAAATTTTCAAACTACTTTTTTCTTATTAATTTTAGATTTAAAAAAAAAAAATTAGCAAATACCCGTGTAATACACGGGTGTTGTACTAGTATGGATGTTAAATCGAAACTCATCAAAAGAAAATTAATTTGATATATTACATATGTAAAATTGATAAAAAATACAAAAGTTATTAACTTTTAAAATACATATACAATTCAATAGATATAATAAGGAATGCTATTAAAATACAAATAATGCATGTAACATGACCATAAATAATCAACATATTTATGGTAATCCGAACCTAATTATTTTTGGTTTGTAATTAAATTAAAATTTATCCAGTCCTAATAACCAAGTATGTAATTTTGCCACACGTCACTGCTCACGGAGGCCTTTACGTCGGGGCATATTCGTCATTTACAGTTTGTCAATCGCACCGCATCATTCAGCTGTATATATAAGGCCGACCCTTATTCTTTGCTTACAGCGAACGCCATAAAAACAGAACGTCTGAATAAATTTCGAATTTTTTGTTTGTAATTGAAAAAAATGGCAGCGGCGGCGGCAGCAGCAGCAGCTGAGGAAGGACAAGTGATTAGCGTCCACTCCATTGATGAATGGAAACTGCACCTCAAAAGGGGTCTCGATTCTAAGAAATTGGTAAACTCTCGATCTCACTCTTATGCGCGTGTTCTTTCATTCTTCATTTTTTTTTTTTTATTTATTTTGTGAATTTTAAGGTCCAAAACCCCTTTTTAAGTGTATTTGAATCACGGCGTATTAGGGTTTCTGTGTAAGTGTTACTGGGTTCTCTTATTACGTATCAGTGCAAGTGTGAGCCTGTGTGTTTTAACCTTTTTTTGAGTAGTTTATGTCAATATGTTGAATTGTTATCAATATTGGGGTAGAAGAAGATGGATTGTGGTAAAGATCCTTTCTTTTCATTGATATGTGCGGTCTTGTATGTGTAAAAAGGAAGCTTTGTTGCATCTCTATTGAATGAGCAGAATTTGAGATCAATCTGTTGTGGCTTTCCTTTACTGATGTTGTTGTATATGTGGAAGAATATTTATCTTTATTACATCTTTATTCACACGAAATTTAGCGTCCGATAGTTGATCTGCCGCATGTCGGGAATGAAAATGAAAAAGAAGGCCTCGTTTATGAGCTTATCTGATAAGAGTGTCTTGTTGGTTGCAATAACCCCTAAATTGATAAAAATGGATTTGATAATGTTTCTTGTTTCTTTGTTCTGTTGATAAATAAACGATTACGTTTATGATAGACTGATAGTGTTTGTCGGGCGACTTGATTTCTTACATGTTGGTTGTAAACTTATTTGCTTTAGTATATATATATAAAGCTCTTGTATTTGTGCAAATGAGAACCAGCCTTTAATTTGACACCCATGCTGTTTTTAATTGTGCTTGATGATATTTTTATTGTGTTTGTGGTGCTATTTGTTGAGGTTGCTTTTATGTGTTATCATGTTTCTTAAGCGAAATTTTTTCCATCAGGTGGTGGTTGATTTCACAGCTTCATGGTGCCCACCATGCCGTTTCATTGCTCCCGTCTTGGCTGAGATGGCCAAGAAGACACCCCATGTTATTTTCCTGAAGGTTGATGTGGATGAACTCCAGGTAGCCTTTGTTCTTGCCTATACATTTAACTCTAGGGGGGCGCCTTACAGATTTTGAAGTGCCCGTCTCTTACTTCTTATAATATGTACCATGCTTTTGTTAGTCTTTTTTATCCCATTTGAATTTTAAGATAGATTTGTTGTTCATCTCATGTGACTGACATTTTCTGCAGGCTGTGGCCCAGGAATATGAAGTTGAGGCTATGCCGACCTTTTTGTTCTTCAAAGAGGGGAAGGTGATTGACAGGATTGTTGGTGCAGATAAGGACGACTTGCAGAAAAAAGTTGCTATACACGGTGCCCTTACTACTACTGCCTGAATTTGCTGATCTATAGTTGTGCTTTCTATTCGCGCATGTAATAAAGAGATTTGTCCTAGCTTTGCCTTTGTTCTGTATATTTATATTCTATGTTATGAAGATTTCTATAAGTATTCTATGTTATGAAGATTTCTATAAGTTTTTCTCACTCCTGGAGTTCTCTTTACTGTTCCAATGAGATTTGTTTTTAAAGTGTGACCTTGTAAATATACAAAAATTACATGTAGTTTATATAAATTTGGTTCTCTGACTAAAGAGTGAACAAGAATAATGTAAAATATTAAATAAAAACAGAGGAAGATCTGTACTTCTTTCTGGGATTCATCATAACTATAGTCTATCACATGATTCACATTACCAAACCCACAGGATACAATACTTCCTTAACCTGATCATGCACAGTCATAAGTTATGACACAAGCATTTCACTTCATGAAGCCCTACACTATCCAATTTGCTCGGGTTTCAACTCTTTCCACAATAGCCTTCTTTGATGTAAAGAAATTTCTCAGGCCACCATATTAGAGCAAATAGCTTCGACAGATAACCTCTTCAAAACGCGCGGGCAAGGATCATTCCCAAAGTAGCTATTCGACACCGAAAGCTTACAACTTTGCTTCCCAAGGCACATCTGCACCCACACACATCAAAACGAGCAAAATATATACAATACGTCAATCTCCACCTACACAAAACCTACCACTGAAGCAAATGAGGGAATTGATTAGATATACTAATATAATATGCCTTTTGTATGATGTCATGGGAGTTCTGGGCATGGCAAGTCCCTAGCTGGAAGTTTCCACAACTGCCCTTTGGGGTCCCGAAGCTCGCGAACTTAATTTTTGATATCAACTGGCCGGGCCCACATCGGAGGTGGACTTTGGCCTGGTGGAGCATTTTTTGTTCTCTGTTGGTGCCCTCCGTGAGGTAATAATTTGCGATTGTTGGGTTGTGTTCCAACGCATTGGCGCACACACCAGATGTCGTTCGTTTGACGAGGGTGATTCTTGACGCATCCCCACCGAGCTCCTCGAATATCACAATCAGGTTTTGTGTAGGCTTCAGCCAAGATCTTGGGACATGGTACCTGTAAAGCAAAAATTGGGAATATACGAGATTAAATTTTGTGGTTACATTTTGTAATTATCGATGATTAGATATGAGGGTCTTTACCAGCGCTGAGTCGGTTGGCCGCATCCAAGCTGGCATTTTGGTGACCGATATGTGCCGCTATAATGGCAAACTCCACAGTTACCATTTGCCTTAGCCTGCCAATATCTTCCGATACTTTGACCGTTGACCCACACTTGACCTTTCCCCATGCTCCTCATATCCAGAGCCAATGGCTCTTTGCCACTTGGCGCGTCAAAATATGCCTGCAAAGTTCGAAAAATCGGTATTTCAGGAAATTTCAAGACTTGAGAACTTATATTTTACCACTCTGGTAGGTTTTTACCTTGTACCATCTCAAAGGCTGTTGATTTTGGTTGGCAGCCGATACTCGCGTCCACTCAACAGAGGAAACCTTTTCGGGCAAGCCCAAATTTATTTTCTCGCCTTTTAATCCGACCTATTCCATCATAAACAAGTGTTACACAATGTGGTTTTACAAAAATCCAGATTTCACGTCAATTTTGCAACTTCTCCATTCGTTTTTCACCTGGTAAGACCATGTTTGCCTGTTCAGGTCCTTTTTCCCTTGATCCAGCCCATCCAGCTCCACACGCCCCAATCCCACGTTCCAATTCTCGAAATGAAATCCGTTGTTCTTCATTTTTTTGTAATCACAACAGCAGTTAGTTCTCATTAGTTACAGAATTTGCTGAATACAGAGTAAAAATGGTATCTACTCTATAATATTTTTCTTCAAGAACTTTAAGGTGGTCCGAGCTGGATAATAAATATTTCTCCGGAACTAACCGGCAAGCCCATGGCTATGCTGAGCAGAGCGATTTTATTCTTTCCAGCTCTCAAGTTCACAGGTCCACTGAATGTGAATCCTGTATTAACCCTCGTCCCATAAGCAGACCCTGTGAATGCACATTAATTAATGAATTAGAAAAGCCTATCTTTTTTCACTAAATGTAATTCGAAAGTCTATGCGAATATCACATAAGAGTACACTTAGAAAAAGAAGTTGTTTAGATGTTTGCAAATATACCTGCAAGCTGACCATTAATGAAGACATGTATGGCATGGCCTCTCGAGTTCACATTCAGAGTCGGCTTCTTCCCAGCTCGTAAAAATGATTCCGATGAATCAATGTTGACGCTAAAGTTAAAAACAGAAAAAGTTGAGTAAGATATTATTAATCAAGTTTGGTTGTCTAATTGATATTAACCAAATTGATATTCGAAATGCTTACCTAGTAGTGTACCACAAATAATCACTATAATCCCTGGTGACATTTATCTGCTCCAAAAGCCCGTTAGCTATAAACACCGAACTATCTTCAGATGAAGCTGCGTCCTCGCCATATGACTCCCACGAGCGAAACACAATATTAGACTGCTGCATTCGAACTTGTGAAGTTTGTGTTCCGATCTTTAATGAAATTCACAAGACAAAAACAAGCCGTTACTCAGGGAAGTATAACAGGCTTGTATATGATTGAATTTGAACTAATGAATAGGAATATGCATACTTTTGCAGTGTTGAAGACCACATTTTTACAGTCTGGAAGAATGCTAATGGACCAAGGAGGTAAATTGTAGTGCCTGTTGTTAAACATCAACTTTACAGCCGATTTACTATCAAAGTTCGAAAGAAAAGCTGCACAGTTTCCTTGTTTGGGGGAAAATACGTAAGCCTGAAAATGTACAAGCTTTTTTCTGTGAATATAATCGATACTACAAGCAAACCAATGATGGTGTAAGGAAAGAAAGTTTGAGTAAAAAAATTAGAATTTTTTGAGGCTCGTAATGGAAGTATCGAACCTGCTGATAGTTTCCTAATGAAGTAACGTTAGGGTCCGATGAGAGTAATGCATGTTCACAAAGCTTGATGGCTTTGTGGAGTTCTTTTAAATGACCGTGCTTTGGTTCCCTAATCGACCCTGAAAACAAAAAACAATTGCTTGAAATAGTTTGAGAAGAAAAAAAAAA